GCGAATTGGATGTAAATTATGTTAAACTTTATATTCTTGTAGGATATTTGTCGATCAGAAAACTCACTGATTTTAAGGGCTACTGAAACCGGATCATAAAATAGTTGAGATATTTATATTAAGTCTAAGTTATTCAATAAAACAGAATTTGGAAACAGTATTCCATTGGAAATAAGAGAAATACTATTTAAATTCAATTTAATGCTAATATACTTTATATTTGAAATAAATTCTTCATTCATTCTTTGGGGATATTTTGTTTCCAATCGATTCAATAGGATTTTATTGTATTGTATTTTACAATACATTTGTTGCAAAAAGGATTTGTTTCCGTGAATGAGACGTTTGTTGTCATTTTTGTATATTTGTGAATATTTTATATATTCGCTATTATAATTAATTAATTGATTTTAGTTAACTATTTATTATCTAATTCTGTTTTTATACACAAATATGTAGTACTCATGAAGTCAAATACAAATTATTGATATACTTAATCATTAATGCAACGTGTTATAGATAACAGTATCGAGAGTAAATTATAATTAACAAATTTATTATAATTATAATTGACTGATTTTCTTACAAATAAAGTAATTACCTTAGAACTAATAACCTATCATACTCTGTCACATGTTGTCAATTAATTAAATATACAGAATATATTAATATAAATAAAAATTTAAATCATTTTCTCTTATATTTTATTTAAGATTAATTATAATAACATATCAATTAAATTTTATCAATAGACAATAATAACAGTATATTAGTTATAATATAGCGGGGTTTAATATATCGATACTTTTAAAATTTTTAAAAGCTATATAATACAGAAAAGAAATGCTTTTAAAAATATATAAATTTATACTGTATTCCCTTCAATGACTAAAAATATCCTGAAGTCCTTTTTATATAAAGGATTTTTATCAATTCTTTGCTAATATAAGAAATATTTTGATTTTCATAAAAAATATATTCTAAATGTTGTGATTTCAGAATATTGTGAGCAAATTGTTATGTATACAAATACAGAATATTCGGATTTACAATATAGAGAACTTAACTTTTTCTTTACTATTCTGTTCTACTATTTATGCCTAGAATTTCTTTTATGTTTTGTGATATTTTTTCTGTGAACATATAAGGACTTATTTTTTTAGTTATATTTCTTATACAGTACTAAAAAACACTGACACAAAGAATTTTGTTTCAAAAAATAATTCTTAGAATTCATTTCATAAATAATATTTCTATTCAACAGAACTATTCTTATCGGCAAAACAAAAGCCAAACGAGTCGTACGGAAAGCTTTGACTCCAATAAGTGTTTGGATGAGAAGATGGAGAAGAATGAGAATCGAGAGAACAAAGTGGTCGTCAATAGCGCTACTAATACGAGCCCTCCCTCTCTCCCCTCTCCTCCCTTCCCTCCATCGCCGCCATCAACGGTGACGACAACCCCCACGCGATTGTCAGCGATGACAATAAGTGTGGGTCAGACGACTACCGGCGCCGCAAACATTAGGAAACAATTGAGTTCTTTTAGTTCCCAGAGCTGTGAAGACGAACAGTTGGGTCAGGACTGGACGCCTGAGATTCCCTTCGAGAATGTAAGTGTCATTTGAGGGCTTGTGGTCTGAGAGGCACTGCCCTGTCCTTAATATGACCGCACATACAGTCAGTACATACAGTCTCACCACATAAGTAATGAGTTTTACATTTCAATTTAGTTTTTCTATTTTAAGCCAACATTTCTGAGCAATTCTTAAGTAGTTTTTCTCTCTCAACACATCTATTATTAAATGACCGCTTAATCCAAAAACCTATTACACAATGCATTTGCACATTGATTACGATTGTATTATAGGGGTTACCAATGGGGTGCTTACAGATTTCGGATACATAAACAATTTTAATGAAATAATTGTACTGGTACTTTGGTTTAATACAAATATTTCATTTTATAAATTTTTATATTATGAAAATATATATACTGTAGTAATGATGTTTGTAGATTGATTTATAAATTTAATAGATGTTTGAATTGAATATAATTGTGTACCGTAAATAAAATGTGGTTATTTATACAGCTTGGTAGTATAATTGTAGGAATTTAATCAGCATAAAATCCTATTTTATTTAATACCAAAGTAGATATCCAAGACATTTCCCTTTGATTGGAGTTTTGTTATTCACATGAAATTCTCCGAATTCTTAATTAATTTTAAATCAAATGATTGCTATTTTCTTGAAACAATTTTCCCTGATTGTGACATACTGTATGTAATTTAGAATTTATTTGATTAATAGATAAATTGATTGTCACATTAGCAAAGTAATCATAATTTAAAATTAATGATATATTTAAGTTATGTCTTCAGATAAATGACACAAGTTTTATTATTTCGTGAAACCAGTTGGTAATAAAATAGGGAAAGTGTTAAAAATAAAGTAATATATTGTAGTCTATTAGTAAAATATGGAATTTTTACAAGATTTTATTTTTTATACTCTATAAATTTGGTAACTAAAATATTTTGAAATATATTATATTATGGCAACAGTTAAACGACTTGAGGTATTCGGTAGATGACGACCCCTTCGAAGTGACCCCAAAAGTAGTGGAAAATATCACAAAAAGTAGCCAAAAGTTAAGCGACAAGAGAGGCGTAACCCCTGACCCGGTGTCCAGTTATATGGAGCAGGAAGAGAGTGGTGGCACCGGAACGGGACCTTCAGATGAGACGGTGATCGGTGCGGCCAAACGGGTGCAGACAGTGAGCGAACAGGTGGACGATATGATCGATCAGTCCATTGAGATCGAGTCCAATAAGAAGATGTTTAAGGAAAACGTCCGATGGTTTCCATTAACCTTCACCTCTAAGGAAATGGAGCTTAAAGTTTGTTATGTTTTTAAAAGTTAATTTGGGTTTCATTTAAGTGCCGTATTAATAAAATTATGATTATTACTAACTTAATTATGTTTATATTTTGTTTACAGTTTCATAACATAAAAGATTTTGTATTTAAATCAAACATATCGTCAGTGGTTGTCATTTGGATTTTTATTGTCATTATACAACTTGTAATTTTGCCCCGGTATGTGTGCCACTT